CCAGCCTCGGTAGTAGAGAGGTTATCCTGTTGATGAGCGTATAATGGTATTGAGATTGAAGCTTTCTTTTGGCTTCCATGTCTCTTATTGCTGTGTACGCTCCTACCGATGTTTGTAAACTTGACGTGAAAGAGATGTTCTACGCCAAACTTACATCTGTGGCAGAAGATGTCCTCGACGAGATAATTCGGCCCATTGTTCTGGGGCGAACTTCAATGCGGTATCTGGCCTGTGATCGAGCTGGCTATATGTCTGTTGGTCCCCATGGTTCAGGAGCTTGATGCCGGTAGCGAGAATAGCCTCCTTTTCCGGGAACTTTGCTAGGTCCAGAAAATTGAGGATTTCTGGCTCCTGGTACCAGCGCCCAGACCCACATCGCTGGACATGGTACAGTGATGTGGGTAACGCAGCCAAGGAGATCGACCACATACTTGTTAGCACTCGTTGGAGGATCCTTCAGAATTGCAGGGTGTACAGGAGTGCTGAGTTCTGTGGTACTGATCATAGATTTGGTTGTGGCTACCCTCCGGGTCCACTTCAAAACCCCCCAGCGGTCAAATGATCACCCTAGTGTGTTTTCATTTGGACAGGCTGAGGGAGGGGGAGTGTGCCCGCGGGTTTGCTGAGGCAATCTCTGATCGTTTCGCAGTGCTTGGCAGTCTGACAGCACCCTGGTTCTTCTGTGGGATACCTTTAAGCGTGAAACGCTTGATGCAGCTCAAGATACGATTGGTGTACGCCCGAAAGCAGTAGTAACAGAATTCCATCTCGCGGAGACACTGGAAGCCACAGATGCATGTCGTGCGGCTCGTCTGACAGGGGATCGGGAATTGCACCGTTCTCATGTGCGCAGAACTGGTCCCTGTTAAGAAGGGACAAGGAACAGTTTATTAGGAGTCTTGCAGAGGAGGTAGAAGGCCATTTCTTAGTAAATGACTTCGTCCTGCATACCAAGCCCTGAGGAAAGCTGAACTCCAAGCCCTCTTCACAGGTGACAGCAGTTCGCTCAGTAAGTGGTCAGATCGTTTCAGATCCTGTTGCGGTACCAGGTTGACCCACCAACAGTTAACTTGGATGCGGGTAGTGTCGAGATCCCACTGCCGGATCCACCTATCAGTGAGGACCCTCCCTCCCTAACTGAAGTTAGGGGAGCTGGAGATTTCCAAGCTGAAGAGTGGTAAAGCAGCTGGTATCTGCGGCATACCAGCTGAACTGTTAAAGGCTGGTGGTGAACCTATGGCACGGGGGTTACATGCTGTCCTGGCTGCCATCTGGCAGTCCGGTTCCGTTCCTCCTGACCTGTTGAGGGGTGTGGTCATCCCTCTCTGGAAGGGGAAGGGGACCGTTGGGACTGCAGCAATCACTGAGGCATCACACTGCTCAGTGTACCAGGCAAGGTTCTCGCCCACATCCTTCTGAGACGTATCAGAGACCATCTACTGAGGCACCAGAGACTGGAGCAATCCGGATTCACTCCTGGTAAGTCCACAATAGACCGTATCCTCGTGCTTCGAGTCATTGTAGAGCGCCGTCGTGAGTTCGGGCGTGGGCTGCTTGCAGCCTACATCGACCTCAAGAAGGCGTTCGATACGGTGCATTGGGAGTCACTTTGGGAGATCCTGAGGCTGAGAGGAATACCAACAAGGATTATTGGACTAATAGCAAGCCTGTATACTGGTACTGAAAGTGCTGTAAAGTGTGGTCGAGCTTCTTTCCTGTTAGTTCAGGAGTGAGGCAAGGCTGTGTCCTTGCACCAACTCTTTTCAACACTTGCATGGACTGGATACTGGGCAGAGCTACTGTTCAAAGTCATTGTGGGGCAACGCTGGGCAATATCAAGGTTACAGACCTTGACTTTGCTGATGACGTTGCCATTCTATCTGAGTCTTTGGAAACCCTAGTGGCGGCTCTCGATGCATTTAGCAATGAAGCGAAGCCCCTGGGTCTAGAGGTCTCCTGGACCAAGACCAAGGTCCAGGAATTTGAGGACTTGTTAGGAGAACCTGTTCAGTCGGTACGTGCCTGCGGCGAGGACATTGAAGTCACAGAGAGCTTTACATACCTTGGTAGTGTAGTTCATAACTCTGGGCTGTCAGACCATGAAGTCAGCAGACGGATTGGCCTGGCAGCAGGGGTCATGAACTCTCTCAACAAGAGTATTTGGAGATGTCGGTACCTGTGCAGAAGGACCAAGCTACGGGTTTTCAAGGCCCTGATAATGCCAGTTTTGCTATACGGTAGCGAAACCTGGACATTGTCCTGTGCCTTGGAGGCTCATCTTGAAGCCTTTTGCAATAGGTCCTTGCGCCAGATCATGGGGTACTGTTGGCGGGACCATGTGTCCAACCAACGGTTGCACCGTGAGACTGGCACAAGCCCTGTTATCTGCACAATCCGTGATCGCCAACTCTGGCTATACGGCCACCTGGCTCGCTTTCCTCAGGATGATCCTGCCCATCAGGTCGTCTCTATTCGAGACAACCCTGGGTGGAGGAGGCCT